ATCCTCCTGTCTCAGCCTCCTGAGTAGCTGGGACTATAGGCATGTACCACCATGCCCGGCTAGCTCTGAATTTTTTTTTTTAATTACGGGGTCTCACTATGTTGCCCCGGCTGGTCTTGAACTCCTGGGCTCAAGTGATCCTCCTGCTTCAGCGGGGACTACAGGCGTGCACCACCACGCCTGCCTAATTTTTTCTATTTTTGGTAGAGACAGGGTCTTGCTCTTGCTCAGGCTGGCTGAGTTAGATTTCAAGCCCTGCGTGCAAACTTTCTGTAATATGGTCCGTATACACTGAACCTATATGCTTGGTGACTGGTTCTATTTCGTGTACACTTTGCTCATCCTACAGAAGGGATTTCCATTTCTCCTCAGTTGCGATTATCACACTATTTGCAGGTTTAATTACCATTGAAGGGGGGCCTCCAGCTACAGCAGCCAAAGCATATTCAGTCTGGACAAGTTTACCAGATGGGCTGAAACTAACTGTGCTCAGTCCACCATCATTTCCTGAACAGCCCTCAGCGTGTGTATTTAAATGTGTGTGGCATCCCAGGACTTCAGTAGGTTAGACAATAGTGGAACGCAGAGTCCCTTGAGGGTTGCTAAACTTCCCCAACCAAGAAATTCTCAACCAAGGGAGGTTCTGTTCCCCCACAGCCCCAGAGGATGCCTACTGATGTCTGGAGACATTTTTGTTCATTACAACTTGGTGGGTGCTCAGGGCATCTCATGGGTGGAGGCCAGGGAGCACCCAAGATGCCACTCAACATTCTACAATGTACAGGAGGACTCCCATAGCAAAGAATTTTCCAACCCCAAATGTCAACAGCAGTGTGAGGAGGAGTGACTCTGATTTCTACTTTTGAGGTTATCGCCCAACGTGGTGTTATAAGTGTTCATAGAGACACACTGTGTCCGAGCGAAACAGGAAGTCTGCCAACCCGTGTGATTGTAGATCAAGAATTTGTAAACCCTGTGTTGGCATTTCTTAATTTCTTTAATATATCAAGAGTCTTTAAGAAAGAATAAAAAAGGAAGTGGCCCTGTTGGGAGGGGGCTGATTGAGGATATAGACTCGGTCCCTGAAAAATCGGGTTTCCTATGTCGGCCCACCGGGGCAGGGCTGAATTGGATGTGGACTCAGCCCCAGAGACAGTTCCCTGGGAAGTACATGGTCTGCGGGGACCTCTACTGTTTTCTGCCTCAGGGCATCTCTCGGGCTCCCTGATGGCCCTTAGGAAATGAATCCAGAGGAAGGACAAGGGGGAAGTGAGGAGAGAGGGCAGAGGTGATCTTCTAGTATTCAGAGATTTTTGGATCCGGTATTGCCCCAATTGTAGAAAGGTCGGTGATATAGAATGCCTATGGGGACAAAGAGGAGAGGAGTTCGGGGTGGGTGATGTTACCCACACCCCTCCCCAGCCTGGGCCTCTCCTGGGCTCCAATCCTGGGAGGTCAGGAGAGCTAGCTGTGCCTGTGGCTCCCAGGTGAGCACAGTCACCTTGGTATCCAGCCGTCCCATGCATCACCTACCACCCAAAAGGCCATCAAGGCTCCTTGCAGGAATCCAATGACCACATCGTAGGGGTGGTGCCAATAGTCCAAGGTCCGGATGTAGCCGGTGACCAGAGCCAGGGATAAGAAGAGGAACTGGAAGGTTGGCCGTAAGAACCTGGTCTTCTATCCCCAGGGGCGCACCTGCACATAAAGCTGGGGAACAGTGGGGAGGGTGGGCAGCAGTTTGAAGACCAGGAACCTGTATCTAGAGGGACCGCATTTTTGCGGCCACCTGTGCAGCAGGACATTCTACCTTGCCAGCTTTGTGTGACAATGAAATTCACCATGTAAGGCAGGTTATTGGCTGTGGCCCCCAAAACCATCAGTGTAAGAGAGTTTTTACCCTATTAACTAGCTAGTGTTGGGAGGACTGTTAGACATTGAATGGAGGATTTGACAAGCAGTCAACTGACACCATACAGGTGGGCCGGATACTGTGGCCCAATACTCTCACCTCCCGCAAGCATTGGCTCTCCAATCAAACTGGGCCCACCTCATCAAGGAACCCTGCAAAAGTTGAGGCTGGGCTCTTCATTTTGACATGGAAAACAGAAAACAAAAAAATTCCCGTTTTTAAACATCAGGTTAATCTACTTCCTTGATGGAGCAGCAAGAATGAGAAAGTGGCTGTTGTATGTTTCAGGGAGAAACCAGGCAGCACCCTCACGATGTAAGGGAATTCCCAGACACTCGGAACATTCTGCTCACAAAATTGACAACCCTTTCTGAGGTCCACAAAAGCAGAGAAAGGCCTGCATCCTAGCTGTGTGTGATCTGTCTGCCATCCGGGGTTGGGGTGAGCCTCGAGGCACTGCTGACGTGCACCCCGGCCCCCAATCCACCCAGGGGGTGGGGACAGAGGACAGAGGGAGTCCACTTTGCCTACTATTAATAAGAACAATGATGTTTAGACCAGATCTACAGCCAGATCCTGTTCTAAACACTTCATGTGCATCAGCTTGTTTATATTTTAACTTGTGAAACCACAACTAGGAAGCAGGTGCAGTCTGCATGTCCATTTCACAGATGAGGAAATGGAGGCCCAAGGACAATGAGTATCTCACCCAAGTGTCACACACTGCTGAGGCTGGGAATAGAGC